TTTTGTGAGTGGTAAGACATGAGATGACATAATCAACTAATTCTCTTAGAAAGTGATTCACTGTGTGATTACGAATGACATTATTATTTGACCCTTTTATTTCTGCCTGAACATTTCAAACCAAGACCTTGAGTTTGAAGGCAGATTACTCGAAGCAGAGATTATTTTATAACAAGAGACAATGGGAAATGCAGTTACCAGAAGGAGCTTGAATACTTTGCTTTTCCAAATCATCAGCTTTTGAATGACTCAAATAACTCCCATTTAAGATGACGTATATGGCTGTTTGTGTGATATCTAAGTGTTAATTCATAGTCACATTTGTTCATAGGTTGTTTTGCTGAACAGTTGGCATGTCCTCTCCTTGGCTATTCATTTTCATGGTTGCAATAGACAATGAAATTTACTTAAACTGTGTACTCTTCTGTAAAATTAATCATTTCAAAATGATATCTTAATTGTAAATCGAGTGATAAAAAGAGAGGAAATAGTGCCAAAGAGGATGGTTAAAACTGAAATCCAGGCAAATAAAATTAGTCAAGAGTTGTAGCCTGTTGGCAGTAAGCTATTTGGAATCTATTATTTACGCAGAGGTAAAAGACACATAGTATTTATAAGCTTAGGATTGTATGTATATGATTCATCATTTATTTAGAAGATGACTTCTTGGAGTAAGAATGTGACTTTTAAGAGTAACTTAATAAGCAGCCCATCCATGGAGTAAGGCACCACTCTCACGTTTCCACTCATCTCAGCAGCCTCTTCAACCACTCTTGTGGAGACCGAGAAGAAGAAAACACAGGAGACTTCAAGATCAGCGACTGACTTTTTTCCCCCTAGAACTTGAAAATTTGTTTGTTTAAAACCATTCAGTTTTCAAAACTTTAAGAACTTGTGGCTCAACATAATAGATTCGTATCTGTTAAAACTTAATAAACATTTTTAATTGGCATTCAAATATACTGCCATTAAAAGTCTCCCTTTAAGATTTATTAGTTATTGTATGTTCATTAAATAACAGATAATTAGTGAAAACAGATCCATCGAGGATTAACAGCTATGTAATAGATACACATCTGTTACATGATTTTGAGGCTGGGTTGTTATTTAACGTACTATAACTATCCTATTAAAAACACATTCAGTGCTACATTTTCAGCTGGTGTGACTGGAATAGGCAAATGCCACCCCTGGCTATGAGGAGGATCCCATCTCACGTTGCCCTTGCATCATTCTCAAATGTGTCTGTAAATACGACGATGAGTGTAGTTTAGAGAGATGTTTTTAATGGGTAACAGAATATTCTTCATATGTCAGTCTTAGTGCCAGCGTTATTAATAAATTGCCTCAATAGATTATGAATAGAAACTGTTATGTTAGCTATTTATAATGGAAAAACCATTAGAATCTACCATTCTCTTCCCAAAGCTATGTTATTGATGTAGGATACTGTCTAGCAGAAACTGCATGAAAAGTTAAGATGCCATTGAGTTTATTTTCAGAAGCAGAGGGTGAATTGCCACCAAGTAGCCAGATTGCATACTCCTAACGAAAAATCTTTGAGAATAGGTTAGAAAGGCAGAAAAACTGAAAAGTTCCTTTGAGACAACTTCCCCTGATTACACTGTAATTGTGATTTTTAATGAGGTGGGGACAAGAGAATCTCCATTTTTGAAAAAAAAAAAAAAAAAGTTCTGAGTTTCCACAGGGGACAGCTGATTGCCGGAGATGAGAGCAGCTCCAAAGATGCAGGTTCTGGAATTCTGTAAATTCATGCATCTCCTTGTTAGTATCTCTCCATTGGAACTACACTTTCAAGAACTTGCAATAGAGGATTTAAAACATAAAAGGAATTTTAAGATAAGAATATCTGGAGTATCTCAGGCCATGATCTGTCTCTTTTAGAAGATTCTCTTTTTTTGTTGGTCCTGGGAACAGGAATGAAGGGTAATAGAATTATGAATTAATTCAGAGAAATTACACATCTGGAATCACTGTGTTGGAAGGGATCTCAAGTGGTCATATTATCTCTTGCCTTCCTCAGGATGGGATGAATTATTATTTATGCCATGCTTGTCTAACCTGTTCCCAAAGATTTTTACTGATGAAAATTCCACGGTGTCTTCAGGCGATCTGCAAGTATAGATGCATAGAACTGCAGAATTTCATTTTGCTAAATTTTTGTAACTTTGTAATTTATAATTTTGTAATTAGCCTTTTTTTTTCTCCTTATCTAAAGTACTAGGTGTGTTTAAATTAGAAGTTAATATCAAAGTTTTGTGTGCAAATGTACACATAAGAATTTGCAAGCACATTCTCATTTTTGTTAGTCAGTGGTGCTTTTCTTGCAAAAGCGAAGTTCTCACCAGTGCCACAGCTTTTAAAATTTGTCCGGGCACTAACCTGAGAAGATATTAATGTAATTTATTCAGGTACAGATTCTAGTGAGTTTACAAGTTTGACTGCATTTAGTGACAGCCCAAATCTGAATTGTTTATTTGAAATGTGACTTATATATGTCTATTTTACTCTACGTAGGTTAAAAGTAATTTGTGGAAACAACGTGAAAGAACATTCTTTATGGTTCTGTGTGTGAAAAAGTTAGGAAATAAAAAGTTACCAAGAAATAAAAGAGGAGTGGCAAATGCTATGTCATGACACAAAGGATGAAAAGCTGTGCCCAGATACCTTGCATGTAGAGGACTCTATTCTTTTTGGCTATAAAAGACTATGCTGCTTTTCTGAACATGAATTCTGTTCACTATTTATCTTGGAAAAACCATTTGTTATTGCTGTTTTAGCCAACTTCATTTTTTTCATTGAACTTCAGTGAAGTTCATGAACCAAATTGCACAGCCCTTGTTTTGTTTCTGTTTCAAGGAAAGGATTCAAGACAGCCCTTCTCCAGCTCCATCTCTAGAAGACAGTCAGCGGCCTGGGAGCCACGCTTCCTCCCACCAGAGCAGCAGCGTGTCCAGCTCGCCGTCCCAGCTGGACAACACCCCGGACAGAATTGGTTAGTGCTCTGCAGCCTCACACCCCTTCGCAGTTACTGACCTCAGGAATTTTAGAAGTTTGTTGAGGCAGATATTTCTTTGCTGGGAAACTCGGGAAAGCCCTCGTTTCCTAAAACACCCCACTGCAGTTTGTTTTATTAGGTTCATCACTATACAGAGCTCAGTTTCATTCTGTGCCATTCTGTATCCAACCATGCAGAGAAGATACCACCTCTTCTCTGGTACAGCCAACTTCTCGTGCATGCTGGAGTAAGAAAGTGCCTCTGAAGACGCTTGGAATTGAAAAATAGCAAGATGTCTTTTTCTTTGTATATATGTCAGGAAAGTCACAGATTAGATGATGGCTTTTCTGTTCCAAAAACTCCTCATGCCCACACATTTCCTCGTCACCGCAAGGCTGAGGGCTTTCTGGGTTTTTTTGGTCTCCACCACTGCTCTCACAGCCTGTGCATTATCAATCTGGTGTTTAAAATGCTAATTCAGTCCAGAGGAAGTTTAGATCCTATTCTTGGTGCTTCCAAGAGGGATCTAGGGCAAGTCAATTAACATCTCTTCACGTCAGTGTATGTCAACACCTTTGTCTTCACGGTGACTGGAGCCTGTGCAGGCATTGCTGAGCTAGATTTAAATTACAAAACCAGTGCAGACTTCACTCCCACAGAGAACTACTCAGCTGCTTGCTGGGATTTTGCAGTTTTGACTCTGGTCCGTGCGGCAGCAGCGTGGCACTACATGGCACAGTTGGCTCCACACAGACTGGGCAGCAGAACCTGAACCGCC